CCACCCCGCGACCCACCCCGCGACCTTCCCCACGACCCACCCCGCGACCCGCCCCGCGACCCACCTGCGACCCACCCCGCGACCCACCCGCGACCCACCCACGACCCACCCCTCGACCCACCCGCGACCCATCCGCGACCCACCCGCGACCCCCCCGCCCACCCACGACCCACCCCGCGACCCACCCGCGCACTACCCGCGACCCACCCGCGACCCAACAGCGACCCACCCGCGACCCACCCGCGACCCACCTGCGACCCAGTTGCGACCCACCAGCGACCCACCCGCGACCTACCCGCATTGGTTAAACGAACAAGTCGGCGCTTGCGGCGGGCTCATAAGTTGTGAAGCTTTGGCGCCTGCGGCGGGCTTCTCCAGAGACTCGCAATTGCCGACGTCCCCACCGCCCCCTCACTCTTATCCGCATCTGCGGGGTGCTACGTACTATGTATCTCGCCGTCCGTTTTTCACCCCCCTCATTCTATTTTCATTTGTCGTGTTGTTGTCCGTCCTTCTCGTATCCTCATCCTCTCAATCCTTCCTCCGTTCGCGAGGAGACGTCGGCGTTTGGAAGGCGGAAGTGGCGAGACTTCCGTAAGAATGGAAGGGTCACCGGCCAACCGCCGGCTCCCGTCTGCCTCAAGGCGCCGCTTTGGTTTGCCAGCCCCATTGTGGGATGAAGCCGGTATTCACATGTTGGCACCACGAGTTGAGGCAAAACACATTCCTTTCATTATTGAATGTGCACGTGAATTACATGCGGCCGTACGTAGGTATGTGCATACACGTAGCATGGATCACTCATCGATGTTTGGCACGGATTGCAGTTGCAGTGCGCAGGTGCCTGCTGAGTTGGGCGGCGTGCAGATGATGATGACGAGGGCGAAATTCGAGGATCGTTTTTATCTCTCTCTCTCGCTCTCTTGTGCGAAGCTGGACCGTTACGATATACTTCCTGGTGTCCTGTGTCGCCTCGAGTGATTTCCTGCGCCTCCTCGAGTGTTCCAGCTTGGAGCACAGTGCCGGATATGATGTGTTATTGTGGTTATCGCACGTCTTTGCAGATTAATTTGGGTATCTGCAGCCAAGCATCTTTACATGTTCATACAATTGAGTATGCAGCATCCATATTGCACAACTCATCAGGCGTGTATTGCAGCAATCACTTAGAACCAGTGGGTTGATGGTGATACACATTGTGTGCATGTATGGTCAGCGCCATGGTGGAGCAATCTTAGACTTACATCATACTTGTGTTCCCTCATCGCGTTTGTGGGTTAGTTTGGCAACAAAGGGCATGCCACAGATGAGGGCATCCACATCTTGAGGCGTAGCACGTTCACATGCAGTCAAATCGATGTCCGTATGAACTGGTCGAGTGAACCAGCGGTGTTTAAGGTAAGCTCATTTGCGGAGGAAACGAGGTTGCGTCACACATGAACTCCCAAGAATCATTTCTGGCGTCGTGGCGGCTTCAACGTTCAGGTCGTTGATTCGAAGGTGGTATGCTACTCGGGGATCTCCAGTGCTGTTCGATTGATTGCCCAACCGGCTCGTCTGTGCTCGTGACTTGCAACACGTCTCAATCGTGTGGTGTGGCTATCAGGTGGGCTCGCTGTTGAACTACTGTAGTGATATTGTTGTTGTTTGAACTCGGTGTAGGATCAGGTGTGCTGCCCTGCTATGGCCATCCATGTGCCCATGTCAAGCAGTTCTGAATGTGACACTGCATCTTGGCTCAGTAACTCGTCGCGTATAGACATGGTCTGGACAATGTATCATACACATCGCCAAGAGCTTGCCCGTGTTACCATGATGCATTTCCCAAGCGTGGCGTATTGAATTTGCCACAGGAGGTCATGACGATCTGTGAGAAGATTGATTTCCAGAAGCCCAGCGAAGCTAGGGGCGGTAGCCAGGATTGCTTTCTCGGGGGGGGGGGGGGCTTGCTCATGTAAAGGTCTCCCCGTGGTCACTCAACCACCAACAGGGGACTTTGAGGCGGGCTCAGCCAGTAAGGGGAAGGCCTCCGGTAGCATTCAGCGTGGACGAGTACGAGCCCACGACCAGGCATCCAGTACGCGTGGAAGCTACACCGACATGTGCCAGCGCAGCCTTAGCGGGCTTGGTCCAATCGGGCGGGCCTGCACATCCAGCAAGGCTCGCGCGGATGTCGCGAGGAATGGCATGTGTCGTGCTTCGCCCTCCGCCATCGTTCCCCACCCCCCTTTTCTCCTCTCTCTTCAGCGTTCGCTCTTCTTGCAGCGCGTAGCGCGAACTTAGCTGACCTCGTCCACCGCCCGTCATCCTCAAGAGAGCACCGTGCCTCCCAGAAGCCTGCGTCACTCTGCGTGTCCTCCTTGGCCTGATCGGGAGCAGAACGCGCGGACGGACCCGTACAGTGCGGCCCGTTTGCCGCGTGGTTGCGTAAGAGGGGGAGCAGGAGGAGGAGAGGCGGGGGGGCATGCTGCAGTCATTGGGAAACTGAGTCTGTGACGTTCCGCGTATCTCCACCAGCTTCCACCGCAAGCAGCCTGGTTTCCCGGGTTCGTGTTTCTTAGCTAGCCGGGCTGGCTGCTTGGAGTTTGGCGCCGCACCGGCGACTCACCCCGGTGCACTCGCACCCGCGGCCGCTTGTTCACTTTGGTTTACAGTGCGGCGCCTAGGTGCGTCTGCTGGTGAATGCAGATCATTTTGTTCAGTGCATGTGCAACTGCGCGCTTGTTGTGCAGGTGCGAACCCGCTTGCCAACGTGGCGGTTGTGTTCGCCAATTCGCATTGTGCCGTCTGCCCCGGACTTTGCCCCTCGCCGCCAGACCGCTGTCGCGCGGCCGCAGACCAAAACAGTATCTCCACCAGCCCATCCAGGGTAAGGCTCAGTGAAAACGCTCCGTCTGAAGTTCGTCTTCCCTTCCTACGCCTCCGCGTCACCTCGTCTTGCCTGCCGGTTTCGCTCACGCGTGAGCTGCGGAGCGGCAGCGGTGCCCACCTGGAGCGGCAGTGGTGCCTCAGGGTCATTGCGCTGACCCCCCGGGCGATAGCAGCGCCGAGACGTCGTAGCCAGACATGATGGAAACGTGAAAATATCACGACTGAAAGTTTCTGGCCGTTTTCGGCGTCCCGGAACCCTCGCCAGGCCCTGGGACCGTTAAAACACGATGCGCGGAATGAACACCAGCCTGAGGCCTTAGGGATATGGTCGGGACTTCCGGGGACCCCGTACTACAAAAAGTGAGGACACCGCATGGTTCCGTAGCCGTTTGGGCTCCAGACGTTTCCGCGGAACGCTCGTGCTGAGCGCGCCAGATCCCGTGCATTGGCCATTCCTGCCGGCAAAATGTCCGCCGCGAGCCTCGTAGGCGAGGTTGAGCAGGGCCGTGTCGAGGGGTCACCCGTCAGCAGGGTGTCGGCCCAGTACGTGGAGCTGGAGAAGTCGGACCCGCTGCTATCGGAGAACCCGCAGCGCTGGGTGATGTTTCCCATTCAGCACGCGGACATCTGGGAGATGTACAAGAAGCATGAGGCCTCCTTCTGGACTGCGGAGGAGATCGACCTCTCGCAGGACAACAAAGACTGGGACGCCTTGGCGCCTCAAGAGAGGCATTTCATCAAGCACGTCCTGGCCTTCTTCGCGGCCTCCGACGGCATCGTGCTGGAGAACCTCGCGGCGCAGTTCTCCACGGATGTGCAGGTACCAGAGGCCAGAGCTTTCTACGGGTTCCAGATGGCGATGGAGAACATCCATTCGGAGACCTACTCCCTCCTTATCGAGCAGTACATCAGGGACCCCGAGGAGAAAAACATGGTCTTCAATGCAATCAGCACCATGCCGCCGATTCGGGAGAAGGCGGAGTGGGCGGTGCAGTGGATGAACCACGAGAACAGCTTCGCTGAGCGCATCATCGCCTTCGCGGCCGTGGAGGGTGTCTTGTTCAGCGGCTCGTTCTGCGCGATCTACTGGCTTAAGAAGCGTGGCTTGATGCCAGGCCTTACGTTCTCAAACGAGCTCATCTCGCGGGACGAGGGCTTGCACGCAGAGTTCGCTTGCCTCCTCTACAACAAGCTGCAGAACAAGCTGCCTGAAGACGTTGTGCACGGCATCGTCCGCGGGGCCGTGGAGGTGGAGCGCCGCTTCATATGCGAGGCTCTCTCGTGCGACCTGATCGGCATGAACAATGATCTGATGACGCGGTACATCGAGTTCGTAGCCGACCGGCTCCTCACGGCGTTGGGCCATTCAAAGCTGTTTAACGCTACCAACCCGTTCGATTGGATGGAGCTTATCTCGCTGCAGGGGAAGACTAATTTCTTCGAGAAGCGTGTCGGCGACTACCAGAAGGCGGGCGTGATGTCGTCGACAAACGCCGGCTCGGAGGAGAGCAAGGGCTTCGCTCTGGACGTCGACTTCTGAGAGCGCGAAGCAGGGGCAACGATAGGGGGAGGGTTATGATTGAGTTTGCGGTTCACTCGCGTCAGCTCCCTCTCTGTCGCCTGCGCTCGCAGCCTGGTTCCCCCCTTCTACCCGCCTCGACCCTCCCTCCTCTCGTGGGCAGGAAGCGTATCCTTCTGCAGCAGATCTATGATCTATCAGAACCTCGTGTGCCCTTGCGTCTGGAGCGCGCTCGCGTCGATTAGCACCTGGTAATCGACGAGATGCAGTCTACCCAGAGAGTAAGGATGAGCAACCTTCCAAGGTTACCATTGCATCCTTGCCCCTTCGGCACATCCTTAGCGACTTTCGCTGGCCACCCTCGTTTGAGAAGCACGACCATGGCCCTCCAAGGCCCTTGCAGCCTTACCGCGCATCCTTACTATACGGGTTGACCGTAGCGTCTATTGGGGCCTTCAGGGCCAGGCAGCTCCGAGGCGCAAGATGGGATGAGAGGCTTCCCATGAGTTGCCACCGAAAATCTCCATCTCCGCAGCCTCGCGGGAGGAGGAGGAGAAGGAGGAGGAGGAGGAGGAGGAGGAGGATCCTCGGCCGCGGTTCCATGGATACAGGGCGGCTCTGCGAGCATGCCCCGCGCGCCACGCATCCATATGGGCATATCTATTGGCGCGCGCCTCGGTGTCCCGACTGCGAGGGCATAGATGTGGATCTGTTCCGTTGCTCGTTGTCCTTCTGCCTCATCCCTCGTTTCCGCCTTCTCCGTGGAAAACGCTCAGCCAGTCGGCCCACGGTGTCGAAACAGGAGTCCGGGACAGTCTGGACTGCGTATTTTTCGCGAATGGCATGCGGCAGTGAGTGCATGCCGCTTGGTGTATTGTTCTCTGCAGCCGTTGGCGCCGCACGATTTTCTTAGAATCGTCACCTTCCGAGGCTGAAGCTTGTGCACATCCACCGCCTTGATAACCGACGCCCCAGGCCCCATGAGGCAGTGGATACTGATACCTTCGGGCACTGGGGGGCCCAACGATATATATATATATATATATATATATATCCACATCTCCTGCTCCCTTTGGCTCCCGCGGCGGTCGACATGTATAAGTTCCAGCCTCGCCCGCCTGGATGAAGCACACTGTCGTGCTAGGGTGGTGTGTGCATGGCAGCTTCGGCTTGCGAATTCGTTACGGCATGCTTCTGCCACTCCGATGATGCGGGGCCAGTGGGCAGTTGGCTCGGCAAATGGCTTGCCTTGCAGGGACGCGGCACTATTGGGGAGTGGCGGCAGGGTTGCCCAGTCGGGGCGGGCCATCTTTCAGTGGATCTCTTCGCGAGCAGGGGGACGAAGAAAAGAAGTAAGAGCACAGCCACGAGTCCAGTAAAAGCCGCCACAGGCATAGGGCCGAGCCGCGGTGGGTTGTAGCCCCAGTTCTGCGTGTTCTGTTGGATCTCTGGCCTAATCGAAACAACACCCAGCATATAAAGAACATTGCCCGCTGCAGACCGCCATGGGGGCGCGGGCCCTGCGAGGTGCGTCCCTGCACAGCCGTGCGGACTCCCTCCTTGATCGTTCTTGACGTCTTCGGCGCACTTTAGGGCGCTCTCGAGCATCTTGGGACTGTCCCCGAAAGCCCGCCGGAGGCGTCTTTGACCGTCTTGGATCCCTTCAGGACCCCCTTGGGGACGTTTGAACCGTATCTCGGTTCGGAAGTGGTCCCAGCTGGCTGGGAACAGCTCCAAGACTGATTCACGACGGGCACACGACAAACCCAAGAAGGTCCCAGCTTAGAAGGCCAGCAGCTCTTGGAGCCTCGAAGCCACCTCCGCACGCCCTCTAGTTGACCCGAAAACACCTTGGACGACACCAAGAGCCCCACAACGACTCGACGTCCCCCATCAGTCACCCAACAAGCCCCCAGACCATCAAGAGTACCCAACGCACCACCAGCCTAATGCCCCGAAGCTTTAAAGGACAATCGATGTATCTACATCGCCGAGTTAGGGAACGCACCAGGCAAATGCAACAAAAACATTGAACGCACCAGACAGACCAACCAAAGACCAGACCAAGCAAAAACACAGACCAACCAACCAGAACCACTGATGCACCCAAGACATCCGAGACATCAGATTTACCCTAAATATCGACCCAGCTGTGGCTCGCGTTGGGGGTGCATCTCTTCTTCCTTTCCAGATTTAATCAGTTGCGGATCTTCAGCGCAGAGCGTTTTCTTCGCTCTCGTGTAGTCAAAGTTCGGCACTGGATCAATGTTACCGCATGTGTCTCGAGCGCTGCACATTGGGGCACTTACGTTATTCGGAGGTTGGGAGATGAGATCGAAACGGAGTCCCCCAACTGGGACCTCGATTTCGGTTTCGCTTCAAGTCGTGACGTGCGTGCGGGCGAGGCGACGTTGCGCGAGGGCGAGGAAGACAACGGCCTTGATAGGGCAGGTCAGCATCATGTTGTTTCTTCTCCTCGGCCACTGGGCGGTGAGGCCCGGGTTGTCCCGCGGTTGTCCCCGTCCCGTCGTTGCCCCGCGGTTGTCCCGATGGTTTTTGTTTGTTCCGCGGTTGTCTTGTGAGGGCCCCGCAGTTTGGCCGTTGAATGCTCAGTGGTTGCCCCGTGGTTGTTCCGTGGTTGTATTGCGGTTGCCCAGCGTTTGTGCGCGTGGTTGTCCCGCGGTAGTCTCGCGGTTTTCCCGGTGTCTGTCCGACGGACGATGGATGAATTGTGAGATTGATTGGCTGATAGTGAGGTCGATTTTCAGCTCGGTGGTTCGATGGATTATCATTTAGTTCTTAAGTCTATCGAGGTTTGTCTATACTCTATATCTATAGAAATACGTATACATACATCGATGCACATGCATGCAAACCGTGTGGTAAACATGGTGACATTTATATCGATATATTGGTGTGTACTCAGATCGCTACGGGAGCATATGTATGTGCAGATAGAGTGGGGACAGTACATATTGTGATCGTGATGTTAGTAAACACATGGTGAGACTGGTAGGGAGTGAGGCTGGTAGAACGTAGTGAGAATTTTTTGATTGGTAATTGTAGGATCGGTCGATCGATCGTGGGACAGGTGATTTGTTCTACTGAGGTACTGAGGTTGCCAGATAGATAGTGAGGTCGGTAGGAGCATTGTTAGTGAGTCGATCGATTGACCAATGAATTAGTTTATCTGTGTATGGGTTGAGGTACCGATCGACATGTTGACAGGTAGTACCGGGAGAGCGTTATCCGAAAAAGTACAGAGAGTAAAAGAGAGAGAGAAGGAGGACTAACAAACGAAACACGAAGAGAGATCGGCGGAGGCGTTTTGGGGGCCAACATCAGCTACCCAAACCTCCATTGATTCCCCGGGGCCACGGGGACCCTCGAAGATGGGACGGCCGCAGATGGCCTCCAGACCGCCCCAGTCTGATCAAGGTGGCCCCAAGACGACCCCCGAGCGGCTACCAAGAGATTTCTAAGAGACCCCCGGGAATTCCAACATCGTTCAGAACCCAAATAGAAAACCACAGGTTTCTCGAGGTCTGGCCTTTTCGATAACGAGGGTCCAGAGACGGCCCCAAGAGGCCCTGAAGAGGTTCCAAAAAGGCTTCCAGGAGGCACCCAGGAGGCCAACCCCCCGTCCGAACTCCGACAGTGGTCATGGTGATGATGGGTAATGATCGTGATGATGAGGATGAGGATGAGGATGAGGATGAGGATGAGGATGATGATGAGGATGATGATCATATGATCATCATGATGATCATGATGATCATGATGATCATGATGATGATCATGACAACAACGATTCAGGATGATGATGGTACAGGCGACGATGCTGACGACGACAGTGACGTCGACGCTTATGATGATGACTATGGTGGTGGTGGTGATGATGGCGTCTCTACTGGCAATGATGATTATGATGATGATTCTGGTGATTTTGATGGTGTTTCGGCCCACGGTCTACACGCCGAGTATGATGCTGACGTTGAGGACGACGTCGATGATGAAGACGATGCTGATACGGACGTTGACGAGATTGGTGACAACAACGAGGATGGTGATGATCATTGTCATGGTAACGACGATGGTCCTGACTTCTTGTCCCCCTCAATCCGGCGACCGCCTCTGAGGCTGCTGGAGGGCCCCACGAGTTTCAGGAGGGAAAGAAACACACAGACACAATTAATCGTCGGTTTTCCAGAAAATATGGGAAAATATGGGAAGTGGGGGGGAAGACAAAAACTCAGAAAATATAGGAAAATATGGGGAACGTTTTTATTTGTGTGTATTTATTTGTGTGTCCCAGGGCCTCTTCAGAGTTGTCCGAGAGACCCCCAAGAGAAGCCCCAGAGGCCACCACGACGGTCCCAAGAGCGTTCGAAAGCCCCCCAAAACGACCCAATTGATCTCACAGAGACCTGCTTGCCGGCTTCTGGACTTGCCAAAAGCGCGTTGAGACAACCCACGAAGCCTCCATCGAGGCCCGACAGCAGTAGCCCGAAAAGGCGTCAAGATATCCCCACAATAGGCTTCTGAGACTCCAGCAGGACGTCCAAAATCGGCGAATGGCTAATGGGGAACTACAGGTTCTGAAGAGTCGCCTTCTCGCTCTCACCGGGCCGGCCTCTCAGGCCTCCAGGTTCGGTGGCTCCAAGACTGGGCCCTGAGGGACGGGGCCCTGAGGACGAGGTGCCTCAAGCACCGTAAAATCCACCCCTGGAGCCCTTCCCGTCCTCAGGGCCTTCTTCCTCCTCCTCCTCCTCCTCCTCCTCCTCCTCCTCCTCCTCCTCCTCCTCCTCCTCCTCCTCCTCCTCCTCCCCCCCTCTTGCGACGCGCGGCCGCGTCCATCAGCGTCTTATCCTCCTCCTCCTCCCCTGCCTCAGGACCCCATCGTTGAACCACCGGCAGGTGCCTCCAGGCGGCCCAAGGGCATCCCGAGACAACAAATGAGGGCCCCGAAAGAGAAATTGCAAGCAAATCCCAGGAGCCCGCCCAACAATTCTTCTAAGAGC